TTATCAGGTGCGAGGTCGGATGCCGATCATTGATAAGGAGCTGGAGTATAGTGGGTCAGATCAACTCCCCACCTAAGTTGTATGTTGGGGTATGGAATGAATGTTCTCAGTAGAATAAGATGAAGAAGCTACAGACCTGAATAGAAAAGCTATCTCTGTCGATAGTAGGGGTTTTCTATCTCTTAGCCACATCCTGCAGGTACATGAAGCATAGAACCATGGGGTGACAGATACGGTATAGATCTGCCCCCTTGGATCACGTGGGGAGGCGTCATCCAGTGACATCTCTTTCTCCTCAGCCCCCCAACTTCAATCTCTTAATCTCAGCTCCACGCTTTGTTTGAGCTAAAACTCCTCTTTTCGTGAGATTTACAACCTGCGCCTATTCCCCCGACCGAACCGCAACCGTCATAGTCATGAAGTTCTTATCAGCTGCCAGCCTCTTGGTTCTTACCGCTCCTCTTGCAAACGCAGCCGCAATCTCTATCTTCGATCCTACACAGGCTTCACTGAAGGTGAACGATAATGAGAAGTACCCAGTCCATGGTGACAACCCTTTGCAGTACTGCGCCAAACCAGACAATTACAAGCTTGAGATCAAGTCGGTGGATCTGACACCCAACCCGCCTCTACCGTATGTCATCCACGAAGAGTGTTGCATAAATGTAGTGGATTTCACTAGCTAACATCTTGGTGATAACAGAGGGCAGAAGTTGACAATCTCCGCCAAAGGTACCCTGCTCGAGAGAATCGAGAAGGGCGCTACCGTGAACCTGGAAGTGAAGTGGGGTCTCATCACTTTGATTAAACAGACCGTCGACCTATGCGATGAGCTTAAGAACGTGGACCTGGAGTGCCCCCTGGAGAAGGGAGAAATGAGCTTGAAGAAGGAGGTGGACTTGCCCAGGCAGATCCCCCCAGTACGTCGTGTTTACAACCGTTTAGAGCCAGGGAAGTAGCTAATGTCTTTTCTACAGGGCAAATACACCGTTCTTGCCGACGTTTACAACAAGGAGCAGAAGCAGGTCACCTGCCTTAAGGCGGATGACATCGTGTTCCACTTCTAATTCTGTCTACCTTAGACATTGCTTTGCATCCACTCAACCAGGTGGCATCTCTCGATTTGCTAAACTGTCAACGTCATTGGCTTATGTGCTTGACTCGGGGATCAAGCATCCGCAATGCGCTTTTCCATGCCCTTCTCACGACTACTTCTATATTCGCATTTGTTGTTTCAAGTTTGTAACGCGTTGCAGTACATTTCGGATATCATTTGGACTTTCTCATGCTATGCTCATTGCATCTGTTAGCTTTGTTTTACAATAATCTATATAAACCACCACGAGTATGACTGTAATGTAAACCTGGCAACTACACCTGTCTGTAACTACAAATAACCACATCATCTCCACTGACCACGCAACATATGTCAAATAAGTGCCGTCTAACCGCGAAGAAAATATATGTGAAGGGTATATGAACTCGTTCCAGTTGCTTTGGGTATCTTCCCTATCTGATATTTCCATGTTTTCTTCCAATTATACTCAAGCGCCGAGATCATCAATGATGGGAAAAGGTATTGTGTAGACCCTTGAGGAACGGCGAAACCAATTCACCATTTCCCGGCTAAATGACAAAGACAAAAATCCATGTATAACAGACCTACTCTCCAAACAGGCGGCGGACACGCTTTAGCACACTGTCCTTCTCCGGGTCGTAGGGGTGGTCTTTGCTGGGAATTTCGAGGACAGCTGGGAAGGGATCGGCGAATGCGTCAACGCTATGGCGGATGCGTTCTGCGATCTGAGGTTTGAGGCAACCGTTAGCGAATATGTAGATAATGAGATGCGAGCGCTGTAACTATTTAGCGCAGGATATAGAGCAGGAACGCACATGCTGGTTAATCAAGAGCACAGCAATGTCTTTCCTCTCCTGGGTGAAGTTCTGGAAGGCCTGTTCGATCTCCGAGGTCTCGGTCTTGGAATCAACGACGAGGAAGTTTCTCTGAGATCCTGGTGGTTCGGTGACATGCTGTAGAAAAAGGCGCCAGCACGTTAGAATGGCTTTCCATATAAGTGTCATAGAGACGTGACGTAGATGGGGTAGTGAATATCATACCCCGATGCCTGCGAGTAAAAGACCAGTGACGGAGCTGCATAATAGATTGAGCTAGGTTAGCTGGGCACGATATTTTCGAGAACAAGGACATTGGAAGACGGGTCTTTACTCTTCATCACCAATGACAGCAAGGAATTGCCGCTCCTGGGGGTACTGAGTTAGCGATCTGAGGGGTCATTCCATTGCGTCGATGTCAAGTACCTTGTACGTTGCGGCCGATGCCGCCATGATGAGGGAAAAGAAAAGATCGACCTGAGATTTCCGAGATACACAATCTTCGAACTGGCAGCTCGAGATGGATCAAGTAAATGACAGATCTAGTCCAGCCGTCCGTTGATCACCGTGGTTATCGCCGGGAGCTACAGATTACATAAGCTGATGCAATTTCTCACATTTGTTTACTCCAGGGCTTCATTATCCGCAAAACAATTTTGGAATGATCTTTGACTGAACCACCCCTCACCTTTAATGCCCTTTCATTATCTTCTTGATTAGGACGAAGCTGCTGAGGAACAGCTTCTGTCTACTACGCCCCCCCACCCCGTCCTCTGACATCATGCCTCGACTTGTACGCCGCCGCCCGCTCTCCGAGCGTATACTCTCCCACCTGAATCCATATGACTTTCTGCTTTGGCTTTCTGAGGAATTTGAAACCGGTGACTGGGACCAACTCGAGCAAAACTGGGCTTTGCCTATCGGTATTGCGCTCAACGTGATATTCCTTATTGCGCGAGCGAATAGTCGGTCCGGTAGTAGCAAGGCTTTTGACGATGTTTTCGGCGACGGCGATGGCACATCCCTGCGTGGGTGGCTTGTACGTTACTCTTCTCCCGTTTTATATCTCTCATCTTGCCTACCTGTGCTCGGAATTCATGGATAGAAAGCTAATGCGCCATGATTGTTCTATTTAGGCATCATTCATCGTCCATTTGATGGCCATCGCGTCTACGGCCAATGCTCTCTACACATTTCGCAAAAAGAGACACTATCGCCTGTTTGAGAACTCTATTGATACCAACCCGGCGACACCATCAGCACATCGCGTACGCGTTGACTCGAGCCCCATGATGCCGTCTCCCCTGCGATACATTGCCAAGGCGCTATCAACGGAATCGGCACACTCGAGAGCACACCCCGATGCACAACGGGATGTCTGGGAGCTTGCGATTTGGGATCCTTCGCCACTGTGTCTCCGGCTCTTTTGCCTGTTCAGCCCAGGGCACGTCTTGGTATACTGGCTGTTCCTCCCGACCCAGCTTTCCGATCCACGCCCTAGCGTGACGATGGTGACGACGATCGTTTTGACGGCTCTTCTTTCTGTGCAGATGTCCTTCATCTCTTCTTCTTACACACAGCAAGCCAAGGACCAGAAGGTTATACACAAAGAGGTCTTTAAAGAATATGACACTAAATATGTCCAACCCCGGACACATCCCCTGATGAGAGATGTTGGCACGCAGTTCTCGGATCCGCATGGTGGACCACCGAAGACTGAGGACGAATGCAACAGGGTTGAGACTTACAGCCCGGCCCATATCATTAACCGTGGTTTCAAGACCAGTCCAAACCCCAATTACCTAAAGCACGTCGACCCAGAAGGTTTCACCCCGGTTCGCCAGTCCACTACATCTACTCCGATCTCCTCTATATTCCAAGGCCCGCCAACCAACACCCCAAGCATGTCGGGGGATGGCTCGCCGATGGCTCGAGGCACCAGCCGTACAACAATGCGACAACCACAGTTCCGGTCTACTGCAACAACAACAGGAGGGGATGGCGGAAGCCTCGGTGTTTACAGCCACGCAAACTCTCCACTAAGGAAGTCCGCGACAACGTCATTTGACCGCCGTTTACAAAACAACGGAGACTTTGTTTACAAGGAGCGTGGTACAAATCCCTTGATGCGGAGCTCCAGTCCACTGAAAAGAAGCAGTGTACCGGGAGGAATGAACGCAGGTGGCCCAGCCACCGTCAATAGATCAGATAACCCCAACACTCGCCGAGAAACGGGGCGGTTTTAAGACGAATGAATGACCAAATTTCATTTCCACAAGCATGAAATGTTGCCGGCCTAAATGGCGTCCGATGTGCTCCAAGGCATGTGCTGTAATGACGCGATAACTAGCAGCACCCTTCGTACATGTATCCATTCTATCCTTAATTGAAGCTATGCCCGGTATAGCTTTACATTTGACGTTTGTTTCATGGCACTAATGCATGTTCGCCACGCTCAGGAATGCAAGCTGCTCGTCTAGGGCAACCTACCGAAATTAGGACCCATGGCATTTCTTTTTTTCCGACCGCTTGATGTTGGTCTTTGATCTGCTTCACTTGGTCATTGTATTCAATCCAATTGGCGATCAGCTTGCGTTGGAGATCCAAAGTTAGCAGTGTACTACGTCCACGCTGTGATCTAGACATCTGGATCGCGCTTTCTTTTCAACACTCTGCCCTCGCAACTTCCATGCATAAGTGACACAATTCATTTTCCAAAATGTGGGACTCAAAAGGAAAGTGCCATTCCAGTTGGCGGCGGGACATTTCAAACAGCATTCACCCCAGGGGTTGGCATTCCTCATTACCGACCTAGCATTCCGACAAAGGGGAGCACATTATCCTTACGCGTTATCAGTGCGAACACCTGTGAAGATCTCTCAATAGCCAGTCCTTTTTGGATCGCCCCGCTCCTCTTGAGTCTATCGTATCCTTCCTTCAGCAGCAGCCAACCGACATAGACCTTTGCTCAGGAACATTAGCATAGGGCAAGACTACTCGACTACTCTCTCTTCGCCCATACACGGCATGGGCTCTGACAAATATTCGCTGTCTGTGCCCGTAGCATTGGCAACTCCGACTACGATCGCTGTCAGTCTCATCCCAACATGGACGAAGCTCATGTCAAATTGCCCGATGGACACCTCGTGAATCTCTCACCGCGACCTGTACGCCCGAGTGCTTACAAAGCGTACCGAGTCGAGTACAAGCCCTCATCAGCAGAGCTCTCGGCGACACCACCTCGACAGCGGCAAGAAAAGAGATCAACAGAATATGCCATCGGAGGAGGTTCACCGGGCAATACCTCTCAACTGCCAAAAGCTACCAAGCTGCCGATCCCGAGGAGTGTTCCTGAAAGTCGTAACGATGGTTCGAATCAAACACCTAGTCCCACTGCACTTCCCGGACTGATCCCATCAAGCCGTTCCTCGGGACGGCTTGGTGACCAGTCTGGGGCCGTGGACAAAACTCACGATCAATATTGGAGGAAAATCAAGGATAAATTGGAAGATTCGCCATTGTCAAAACGACGTATCAAGAGCAAGGATAGCGACAAGAGCCAATCTCCTAACTCGCCTATCTCCTACCACCGCAGCAGGGTTCCTACCAGCACCATCCAAGATCAGACAAGCTACCGGGCAGGCAGTGCACCATCAAGCATCCCGAGTCCGCGCACCATCAACGGCAGTCCCGCGTTGGGGTCGAGGAATGATACTCCCACAACCCTTCCTGTGGACAGCCAAAACAAATGGCAGAAGAAAAACGACCAATGGGTCCTCATGGATGTACCCGCAACCACACCCCAGAAATCAGCGACAACAGACGAGACGACTGATTCCAGCCCTCGATCCCATCCTTCCGTCTCGCCAGTATCTGCCGAGAACAGTTCCATCACCGACTGGGAAGATCGATTCGTTGTGAATATGCCAACTGCAAAAGATCCCAATCCGCCAACGATGACGGCTCAACAGATTGCTGAGTATCAGAAAAGCATTGAACAGGTACACCGGGATGGTGGGCAAATGGTAGACCCGAGCACAGTGCCTAGTCGTAACGTGTCTCCCGAGATCAGATTCAACCCCAGCGAACAGAGAATTCAGAGCCCAAGGGGGATCATCACATACGACGGGGCATACGAGAAGAACGAGAAGGGCCAAGCGCCGAGCTTGTCGCAAGAGGAACATCACCCATCGCCGCCGCCTTCGCAAAATGCTCACCTGGAGAAACAATCAAAGCCTCAGCCCCAGAAGCTCCAGCCAACACCTGCGTCGCAACGTCAACCAGGGAGCCACTACTACAGCCCAGATGAAATAGGGTACAATAGGATTAGCACAATTTGGGAGGAATCGCCCACAAAACCCAAGGAGAAGCGAGACCCGCAAAACGCGGACGGATCTTTTTTAGGGTGCAGAGAAATATCTGGGGAGAAGAATCCAGACGAAATCCTCAGGTTCACTTCCCCAGACGATACCAGTCTGCATCCACCCCCATTGGCCCTGGGTTCCAAGAACAAGCGAAAGACGGCGAAGGAAGTGAGGAAAGCAGCAGACCGAAAAACCACCCACACACTCGGGGAGACGGTAGTCCTTCAAAAAGAGCGATCACAAATTTCTCAGAATTCGAGCCCTGCCCAATGCTCGAAGTCGTCAGCCATATACCAGGATCCGAGTTACCCCCAGAACGCATCCCCAATTCCGCGGACGAGGTCCCAAGACTCGAGCAAGGAGAATTACCATCCTACCAGCAATACACCCGAGCGGTCCAACAGTCTGGAAGAAAATCGGGGGGACGACGATGTGTTCATTATCACACCCACTATCACGCGTACTATGATTCCCACGTCCGACAAGAAAGCGTCTTCGCCAAAGCCGCAAGGGTTGCGTCGTCCTGGTGGCACAAATCACACAGTTACCGCCGAGGCTACCAAAGCCGTTCGGGCAAGGGCTCAGATGATTTCCACACCATCGGGGTTACGGCCCGGGGGACCCAACACGAATATCAAGCCAACAGAGCGTGCATTGACAACTTCCCAAACGTTGCCACTCACCAGCATCTCCACCACGCTGAAAGACGAAGACGACGAGGGTCCAACCAAAGATCATGCGAAAGATCACACTCCAGAACGAGCAGCAGGTCCAACATCGAATACTATCCGTGGCTTCATCCGTACCTCCGGGCTGGCAAAACCTTCAGGGCTGGCCAGATCACCTACAGATAGCATTGCTACGATCTTGCGCAACAGGACCGAGTCTCTCCGTGCACGCGCGGAATCTCTGCGGAATGGTTCAGGATCAGTCCAACGTGCAAACCAGAAGCGATCGCCAAGTCCTCAAACAACTCTTCCGTCCAGGGACAATTCCGAATCATCACGATCGGAACAGTCGTTTCGGTCCGCCGGAGAAACCACACCTATCACAACAAATAGACCTGCCTCGCCGCCAAAAATGGCCACGACGGAAAAGAAACCAGACGAAAACAAACAACCTTCCCCACAGCCACCACCTGCACCCGCACCAACAAAACTAGTAACGAAAAAGGTGACCTTATCAGAGGAACGTCCTTCGCCGATAAAACCCGACAAGCCCCCTACATCAACTAGAAAGATTTCCGTACTAGCAAAGCCGTCCAAGTTGAGCCAAACTTCCAAGTTGAAGGAGACCTCCAAGTTGGATGAAACCTCTGGTTCTATAAAATCAGCTGTGTCTGAAAGATCTTCTCCCCCAGGGCAACGAAGTCTGATACTCCGCCAAAAAAGGAAGCACACGTGAAGCCCCTACCTCGTCTACGTACCTCTGGTAAAGTTTTGGAAATCGCCGAGCTCGATGGGCTTCAGGTTGCAAGCCCCAAGGAGTCTCTTCAATCCAACATCACAGACGTCAATGCCGATCTATGTGACATGCACTCCAATGACAAGAATTATTCCGATGCCCAGGGACTCAATCCCTTGGCCCTTTCACTTCTTTTCAATATTCTTGTTGTTGCCGTCACCCAAGTGAACAAAGCTCTCCGGATGGGTACCGACAGCACTTGCGCTAAATTTGTGGCCAGTAACACCCTGAGTATGGCCAGTCACTGTTGGCGTGTTTCCGAATCCATCTACACCATGATATCTCACTACCAAGCCACAGGTGCCTGGCCCAAGCCTCGCAGTGACCAGTCCGCCAGCCAGTTCATGGTGGAGCTTCTTCAAGCCATTGTGTATCTCCTGATTCTTGGGTTCGCAGCCATGCTGATAACACGTACTGTTGGCTATATCGTTCTCGTGAGCAGTTGGATTGTATGGTTTGCCAGGCCTTTTGCGTGGTTCTTCCAATGCGTTGGCCGTGCCCTGGTGATGTAAAATTAGCTAGGCCCTAGCTGTATGCTTGTACAAGATTGTTTCCTTGGAAGTCTCTAGTTTGGAAGGAGAGCGTTCGTCGTTTTTGGTGCTTTCGGGTCTTTGTCCTGGTCTCGAGCGGTTCTACCTACTCACCTAGTTGTGTCTTTTTGGCTGTATTCCTAGTTTATCATTAAATAGGTCTCAAACTTGAATTTTTTATATAGAACCATTTACTCTTTTGGTATGCCAATGTACGTAGTTGTACGGTACGTGGTTGGACGTAGTAGACAAGAACTTGCATTGATATTGATCTTCTTGACTTGAAACCGAGACACAAAAGCTGAAGACACCGAAAACACAGTGACATGTCGACTCTCCCATGTTGAAGAGAGAAATAAAATAACATCCAACTCTTGTCATGTCGCCCAAATCCAGAATCCAATCTTGTATATGATGAAAAACAGACCCAACTCCGTCATCCTGGTGTTGAATGGTCCTGTATGCTAGCCCCATGATAATCTTGCAAAAGCAAGGCAAAAGCAGAGAAAATATAAGGAATTTAAACATGAAAGGTTCCCTTCTCAACCATTTTTCATGTCCGGATGTGCGTTGAGCAATCCTTTTTTTTTTAGTTCATGCGAAGGAGACATCCACGCAGCCGAGGTGTAACCCGGCGGTTTGTGGGATGAAGGTAGCATGCAAGAAAAAGGAAAAAGGCAGAAACTAGGGGAAGAGAAAAAGAAAAGGGGAAGGGGAAGGGAAAAAGCAGGGCTGGGCTACCGCCACTGCCAGCGCTCTATGGATTGAACAAGAAGAGACACAAAACAAAGACGATAAGAACGGAATAGGCCGTAAAGGCAAAATTATGTTGAATTTTTGTTCTTCTTTCATTCATTTGATTCTTCCATTCTTCTGGGCTATTGTTCTGGATCGTACTAGACCGAACAGAAAACATGACATAGTCCAGAAGAGAAGCACCAGGCCTGAAGAAGAATAGACCCGAGAAAATAAAAGAGAATCCGACGAAGCGCCATTGTTAAAAGAGACGGGGTATCGGTACATTATGTTGAAATGAAAACGCTGTGGAAGAAATCGTTGAGAGGTCTTCAGTCGTGACGCCATAAGACATTGCAGGGGGAGCCCGAGATGTGTTGGAGTAGTTGTTTGTATGGGCTGTGGTATCGTTGAGATGAGTGATGTTGAATTAGGTAAGGTGTTGAGTTGGTTTTATGAGAGGTGTGCAAAGATGGCATACGACCGAGGTAGGGGGTCGAGGGTGTGAATGGATAATTAACCCAGTTCTGAGTTGAGGGGAACTGGTTTAGTTGGCAGCAACGCCATTTGGTTCGGCGTGGCCGTTGGTCAATGGCTTCCCGGCCATCTCAATATTGAGATCTTTGATCTCGAGGCCATTGAATAATTCGAAGACAGCGTTAGATCTGTGGAAGTCGTTGTCGACGATATTGACAAGATACCAGTCGTCCATCACGTGCTGAATCAGCTGGCGACTAGGACTGGCTGCATCGTGACACTTGGACCAATGCTCGCCCAAGAGGTATGCCTCATCCTTCCAAGCCAAGAAACTGACTGTCTCGACAATGGTGGGCTGGATGATCTCTCGTCCAGCGAAGATACCCCAGGTGAGGGCGTTCGGGCTGTCACGTGTATTGGTCTTAAGCTCGCCCTTCTTGTTGGTGGCATGGTAGGTCAAGTCATCGTTCTTCTCGATGCGAGTGATGAGCTCATCGAGCAAGTTGGAAGGGACCAGAAGCTCAAGGTAGGCTTTCTGGTAGACGAAACCGTTCTTGGGGCCCCATCCGTACACAGGATGAGACGACTTGACTCCATTAACAGCGGGCTGAGAGTTGATTGTCAGGAATCCGCGCTGGTTTAGTTTGAGTAAGTCCTCCTGGATATCTTGTGCTTCGGTCGTGATTGGCGAGTCACTCCATGGCAGTCGGTCAAGCTTGCCGGTCAAGAAATTCACGAAGATATCTGATATATCCTTGATCGATTTTGGCTCGCCCCAAAGTTTGATGTTCTGCTCGTTTGTGCCCTTAAGGCCCACACCGTAAGCGTCGAGTTCACCGAACGCAGGTGAACGGGAATCGGTCCAGCGACCGTTAGGGTACTCATCCCATGTCTGGGTTCGAGCAACGTATGATGAGTTCCGGTTGCGCCAGAACACTGGTCGCACATCCTCTGTCCTTCGGCCGAGGCCAAGGGAGGGCCGCCAAGGCAGCGCGCGTTGAATTGGGGACTCATCCGACGGGGAAAGGTCGAGCTCTTTGAGAACCAACTGAGTCGCCTGAGCCAGGTTCATAGTATAGCTAAGCAGTCTGTCAGAACATGTCGGGATAGTAGGATTGAGGAATTAGTAGACCAAACTTACAAATGCAGGTGCTTGATACCAGCAGCGAACAGTTTTCTACACATATCGGCGATCAGAGATTTTCCGATATCTCGAACTGCGGAATCGTCGTTCTTGACCGGCTCAAGGGCCTCCATCCACTGAGGAGGCACTTGAACCTTGGTCCAGTTCGATCGACGAATGAAAGAAGCGTATGTCTGAATGGGCATGATACCGGGAATGATGGGGATAGTGATACCCTTGGCGCGGCACTTCTTCAACCATTCGATGAAGTTCTCCGCATCGTAGAACATTTGAGTGACTACAAAAGAGCTGCCAGCATCAACCTTCTCCTTCAAGTGGTCGATCAATTGGTCCACATCGGTGTTGTCATCGGCACCCTCGGGATAGCCACCCACACCAATATCGAAGTGGTTGCCATATTTGTCCCGGATATATTTGACTAGATCCTTTGCATAGCGGAATCCATTTTCTGTAGCCTCCCATGTCTCCTTGTCTCGCGGTGGGTCTCCTCGAAGAGCCAGAATATTGGTGCAGCCAGCTTTGTAGGCGGCTTGGAGCGCTTGGTCAACTTTCTCCAAAGGCATATCCGTGCAGGTCAAGTGCATGCAGGTCTCCAAGCCATATACCGATTGTGCCACGCTAACCATCTCGCAAGTCAGATCCGATAAGCGACCGCCAGCACCCCAGGTGATATCGATGAATGAAGGACCCAGCCCATGCATGCGGTCCATTCGGTCGTAAAGATTCTGTACACCCTGGGCAGTTTTGGGAGGGAAGAACTCAAAGGAGATTCCCGTCTTTCCCTCCGCCTCATTTTTGGCAAGCTTGTCTCGGATATGCATCTTGTTGGGTTAATCTAGTTTTTGTAAGCATACCACATAGTGTTAAGGGGCCATCGATTCCATCAAGGTCTTGTATTTATGCTCTGGGATAAACATACCAACGGCTGGCAATAATTAATTAGATTGTTTGTGAAACTGGGATACCTGTGCAGATGAGACAGGCCACTTCTGCTGTCTGAGAACCTGAGCACAATCCCTGTGTACTGTGACACCTAAATGTCCAGAACCTAGGAATGAAGGGGAACAAATTGATAAAACCCCCAAAAAATGAAATGTAAAAAAAAAGTGCGAAAAGGAATTGTGAGGCTCCAAGGAGAGTGAAGGAGAGGAATTAAGGAATCCGGTGAGCGGAACGTTTTGGGGACAACATTTGGCGGGGAAGGCCGGCCATCGGAGGCACGTGTTTTGTTTCTTAAAGGGGGAATTAGAGGAAATTTAGGTAGAAAAGTGAAGAACAAGTACGTATTATAGAAAATTATATGTGATATCTTCATTTCTATCTTTTTTGATATTAAAAAATAACTGCCAATGGTACTTCTATAGTGCAAAATGACTTGCTCAGACCTTCTATGGCGCAATACTTGAAGCCTTACCGCCTGCCCCTCTTATGGGAATGGAAGTTCCGGCAAAATTTTCCCGACTTGGCTCAGATTTGCATTTTGACCTTGTCGACTCGATTTGACACTCTTAGACAATTACCTACAATCCCTCCACCTCTAAAATGTCGACTGTTCCTCCTCCAACTGCTGATCAGGACTACAAGTCCACCCTCCTACCCCTTCTCATCTCCAACAATGTCCTCTCGTTCGGCACCTATGTCTTGAAGTCTGGTCGTGAATCGCCCTACTTCTTCACCTCTTCCCTCCTACACACTGCACCTTTACTACGCGCATCCTCTGCTGCCTACGCTAGTGTTCTCTCTGCTGAGCCTTTCGTCACCACCAACTCCGACGGCACCGCTCAACCCAACTTCGACATTATCTTCGGACCCGCATACAAGGGTATCCCCATTTGCGCATCTGTCACCAACGAGCTCGCCGTGCGCGACTCCCTATCCGGCAAGACTACCTGGGACAATGTGAGCTACTCTTTCAACCGCAAGGAGGCCAAGGCACATGGCGAGGGTGGAAACATTGTCGGTGCCCCGCTCAAGGGCAAGCGGGTCGTCATTGTGGACGATGTCATCACTGCTGGCACTGCACTCCGCGAGGCTGTCGGTATCATCGAGAAGGAAGGCGGTATCGTCGCTGGTGTCGTTGTCCTGCTGGATCGGGAAGAACGCGTCAGCGATACCGAGTCTAAGAGCGCCATTGGTGTTGCCCAGCGTGATCTCGGTGGCAAGATCCCCATCCGGTCAGTCATTGGTCTCCACGACCTGATTGAGAAGCTGAGTGATAGCATTGGTGCCGGTGAGATCCAGCGCTTGAAGGACTACCGTGAGCGCTACGGTGCCCAATAGATACCCGCTTGTGGAATCCGCCAAATCAAGGCATGATGTATGAAGAAAGACAGGATGGATACCAGGATATTTTGGAGTTGCCCTGAAAATATTATTACTTAGACAATACCCATATCCACACCAGGAGACAGGCTCATTCATATATGGACTATTTGATTCGTCCTCGATAATTTATGCAACCATATACTTCTAAACCAGCTAGCAAATGGCTTTCCCATTTGCTTATCTTGGAACAGCACGATATAATGGGTAAGGAAATTGACTTGCACTTTCGTTTTTGGAATCGCCCACGAAGATTCCTAGAAAACAGGTGAGACCGGTGCTCAATCCGACAATAGAAAATTCG